AAGAGTAAAACTGTGAGTTGATAGTCAAGACACTTTGAAAGGGCTTAATTTCAGGTCTTTGTGGATGGATCAAGGGAGGAAAGGATATTATGCAGGGAGTTTAGTGAGAATGAAATTTCAAAATGTGTAAAATGTTAGAGAATATTCTCCCTTCCAATTTTCTTTTCTGAGTCACACTAATCAAAATAATCACAATAATCAGAACGGATTGCAATGAAATTCCAGGAGATCTAGAATGAAACCAAAATCCATCGGCACATCTATTGTCTGCTCCAAATCCCACAGACCCAAATTTGAAAAGTGTTTGACTATCCAGATGTAGGTACCCATGTAAGTTATCTGACTTTCAGAGGATCTATACAATTGCAACTCCATTTGATTCAAAGATTAATTCTCTAATTTTAATAAAGCTAGAGGGTCTTTATGCGCTGACCTGGAAGTTAAGGATTGGTCTCAGTTTGGTCTCTTTTCATTGCTTTGAGGGAAAGTTCATAGCCAAGAAACATGGCTGAACTCATTGGGAATCCTCGCACTGCATTGACCGTGATGCCCCTAAAAAAGACCTGTTGGGGATGGAGAAAGGTTAGAGCATAGGAATACACTAGCTATTTTAAGAAGAAGAAAACATTGGACGAAGTCATGGTGGGATTCTGAAGAACCAAATCTTGGTTTGCTCTGGAGATCTGCTCTCACTGCCGGTCTTTGCTGAAGTCTGTGCTAGAGAATGGAAACGCAATGGCAAAAGTCACTGGTTTGGTATTGTTGTGCTCCACACTCTCTGTGGACCCCCCCCTGTATCTGCCAGCAAGAACTACAAGAGGTAAAAGGCAGAAAGTGGCCTCAAGCCACTGGTATAGAGCAGAAAGCAAGAAATCTAAAACATCTTCCAGTGTTGTCCTACGAAGGTCCTCCTTCCCTTTGCATACACAAGTGTGTGAGGATCGTGCAGACCCCAGGGTACAGCAAGAAGGCTGTTGCTTTCAGGCAGCAAATGCTCTGACTCCTGGGGCTGCGTCTGTGGGCACAGAAGACGTTTGGGAAGTAGAGAGGGAGCGGTGTGGCTGCGAGCCAGCCCGGCCGACGCGGGCACTGTGCCACACGGACTATTTTGCAGGTTTCACTTTTGAGCATAGAAACAATTTTTCCAGCCGCAGAAAACTAGACTTACTCTGTACCTTACTGACAATTAGCCCTCACCACCGTCTCTGGAAAAAAATTTTTGATAGAAGCTGGTATTTTCACACATGGGTTCCTAAGGTCACTCTTTGGTGCTCATACATATCCCAGAGTTTTCTTTCATCAAGATAATAAACATGAATTTATACAGCCAGACTTCCCTATTCTGCTGAATATATATATTTTTTTAAAGATGCTGGCACTTACAAGAGCGAAAGACCCTGCGGCTTTTAAGTGCTTGAACAGTGAAGTGCTTTTGGGAAGCGGAGAAGGGGCCTTTGTCGCTCCTGGCATTGGCTTGTCTCCCTTCAAACCCCCCCTCGCTACAAACACTACTGCCCGGTACGAGCACGGGTGTGCACAAACCCCTCGCTCTGGGGTGAGCCTGTTTACAAAATGATGATTGCAGGGAGCGTCTTTGCTGCCCTGTTTCTCACAAAATCCCTCCGTTAACCACCCAGGCTAACCACGGTAGTCGCTGATCTAAACACCAGAAGTTCAGAATAGACATGATGGGTAACATCAGCAAAGCAAGCCCCCTTCCAGGCTCTAAAAAAGCAAAACTCCCACAGCTACTGTAAGAAAGCATGGAAGATCTCGGCCCCGGGACCAGCAGCCCATAGATGTAAGTGCCTAACGACTATTTCCCCCGAAATACTGAGCTCTGCTAAACACAACCACATCGTGTATCCAGTAAATCCGGTGCGTGGTGCTGACTTGTACGAGACAGAACCAAAACATCTTCACATTGTTTAGGATAGAGTTTGCGATATTGGGATATTTAGGATATTACTTGATTTATTGGGGTGTTTTATTTTGCTAGGAAAGATAGAATTTTCTGTGAGGAAATTCAAATTTTTGCAGTATCCATAAAGTAACACGAGAGAGCCAGGTTTTAAATAATCACAAAGATTTACGAAGAAAAGCCGAGAGGCATAAATTTTTCTCATCAGAATGAACACACCTGACTATGGAGAAAGAGGAGGGCTATATTTACACTTTTTTGTGTGCCAGGCAATTATTTTCAGTATTGTGAATGCTGTTCCTTTGTTCTAGAATGAAAATACCCAGACCCAGGTTTGCCATTTATCAGTTCTGTGTCTCCCAAGATACAAAAAGATTTTCCTTGTGAGAAAAGGATCCAGTCTTACCGTCAACTATTACTCAATCCTATCGCTGGCTTTGGTCAGGGTGCCAGGCACGATAGCAGAGAAGCTGCAAGCAGCTCAGACCTCAAACAAAAAAAAAAAACCCAAGTGCCTGAATTCAGCCGGTGCCCGTGCTTCATATGACTGTGACTTTCTTCACCCAACGGCAAAACCAAACCAGACTGCAGCCTTCCGTGACAGCCAGCATGACATAGTGGCATGTTGGCAAATATTTAAATCCCACTGACTTGTGATTTTGTAGGTTATTTTTCTTTTTGTAACTTCTTACTCGTTTCCCTCAGTGTGTGAAGATTAACACTTTGGACCTAAGAGCCCACGTGTTGTTGTGATGACAACATAAATACAGATTTATTTCTGTATCAGAAGATGTCTTCTCATAGCTATGCATTGGCAATGCAATAAAGCTGCAAGCCCTGGTTCTCTGCCATTCACATTTAACTGAGGAAAAGTTTGCAGGTAGAACAAACATCTTTTACTACACTAATAGACAAAGTCAGAAAAAGGAGATAAGGGTTTTTTTGGCACGCAGCCCTTCTTCACATTTGAAACCAAAGCAATTCTGATTAAAGAACATTTCCAATCAGCTCCACCTTGGTGCAAAATGAGGGTGTGCAGTGCAAAATGCAGTATCACTTCCACCAAAGCACTGCCCAAGGCAACCAAACACACCTCGGGTGCCAGCGCGGTCCCACTGGAATCAGTTCCCATTGACTTCAGTGTCAATGGGAAACACTTGGCCTCTGCATTTTGTTGAAGCAATCACAGAGGCAAGATTTTCTACCTCTAATTTACAATAAGTCAAACCACATCCACAATTTAATGCACTGACATGAAGTGCTATTTTAAGTTAATTACATCAGCAGACCATGACCCCCAGTCATTCATTTTTTCATTGCATTATTACTCTCATTATTATGAGTTAGAAAGAATCTGCACTATAATTACCTGCTGTCATATTATAATCTAGCAGTAACTGGCTTTAGCTGTCTCTCAACCCTGCAGATAGGGTTGTAACAACCATTGTATTTACAAATTGAAAATTAAATGCCTAATGCCCAGATTTTACTTTAAATAGCACTTACTTTTAAGCCCTCGTTCTGGTAGCTCTGCAAGATACAGTCAAGGGTCCCTTTGTACTTGTTTAAATAAACTCCATCTGCCTGAAGTCGACTTTTCACAACGTCCATTGGAGTAGCAGTCCCCCAGGAAATGGCTCCTAGAAAAATGCAGAAGTATTTGAACAATTTCTTCTCTATATTTCTTTGGCCATAGGTCAATGAACTCAGAAATTCACCTCTCATCTACCACACCATATTCATGGGATTTTCATTTCAGGTCATTCACCCTGCTCAGGCACAGGAACAGTATTTCTGGGAGCAAAGTTCCTTGTTTCTGGAAGAAGCACTGAGGTTTTGGGGGTAATCAAACGGAGGCAGCCCAGGAGGTGCTCCCCCAGGTGCAAATACATCTTCTGCTGTGCTTCTGGTGGAGCATGGACATGTCATGGGAAGAGCCCGAGCTGCAGACAGCTGCTGCTTGGGGCAATTTCAGAAAAACTGGAGTCCTCAGATAATATAGTTGAAAAGCAAATTTTAAGCTGAGAGGGCAAATAAGAGGCAGGTTCATCTCATGCAACCAGGATTAGGTTGCACACAGCTGAGATACTTCATCATTCCTATAAAGAAATGGTCTATTCACATTGATTAGCCTGCAGCTGAGTGGGATGTTTTGCCTCTCTGGAAAGGTCAGCATGTGACCAAAATACATGGCACAGTTGGACAGGCAAGAGCTTGTTTGGTCCTGCATGAGTGTTGGGGCATGCTAGAGAAGCTGTCCAGGTGGGCCAGGGCTCTCTTTATTTGCAGGAGAAACAGTGTGGGCATTTTGTAATCATTACCTTAGCTAAGGACTGATCTTCATTTAGGGGTCTGCAATTTAGAAATGGCCAAGAAATGGGGAGTGGGTATAGGGGTGACCTTACAGATGTAAGCACAGTGAAGGATGCACGTGCCGGTCTTACTAGCAGGTGTACACAGGAAAAAAAAAGATGATGACGACCAGTAACAGTCAGCTCTGCTCCTGCTGCGTGCGGGTAGGGCACACACCCTCCTGGTGGGCAGCCAGCGGGTTGAAGTCCTCTTCTGGAGGCATCTTGGCTGCCGTGTATCACTGAGAAGGTGACACGCAGGCTGCCATGAGACATCGAGGGAGATGAAGGCACTGGCTGTTTTCCTTCTCGCTGACATTGAGCCCGATGAAGGTCTGATAACATGACTTCCATAAAGTTTGTCAAGTCATAAAGTGCAGCCGTGGTGCCAGGGGACTTGGCCCTGGGGGAGGAAGGTCGTTCAGCCCCAAGTCCTCTCCTGGTGACCAGGAGGATGTGGCAGCCCCTGAGCCACCCCGTACATCTGCCCTGGGAACCTTCCTGTCCTTGTTTTGCCAGCGTTGGGGGAAAAAATGGTGCTTACCTGCTACACCCCCCGCCAGCCAGATGGAGGAGGGATTAGGGGAAATGCATCCGTCAGGGGTAATCCATCCACAGAAAAATGTGTAAGGGATGAAATAGAGGCAGTACCCAGGAACATCCCTCAGCAGCATTGCTCCCGCGCCTCGGTACATTCCCGCTATCCCCTCTTTCTGTAGGACTGTCCTAAAGCAGTGAATTGGGCCTCGGTACACAGGAAATCCAGGAACTGTGGGCTTTAGTTTAATGTTTGCTGCAAAAAAAGACACAGCTGTTATAATAGCTATATTGCTACCCAACTCCTCGCAAAAGCCCACTACCGACGACCAGACAGAAATTGCTGCCATCCATTTGCTTTTGCTGGGATCAATATGTAGTGTGTGAAAAAAGTCATTAAGAAAGAGGACTTGGGCCCATTTTTAAAAGATATTTAGACTCTTCAGGACAGATTTTTCTTAGTTGCATTGCAGGCCTCCCAACTGGTACGTGCCCAGTGAGATTTCCAAATGAGTTTAAGGCTATGTGCCAAATTTGCATAGATTTTAATCACACCTGGTGCCAAGCTGGATCTTTGGAAGCCTTGACATCTTCAGAGTCTGGCCCTTCTGACGTAGAGGACTGAGCTGCCTTTGGAAAGCTTAGGAGCATTAGGTTGCTCACCCACATGGAGGCTTTTAAAAATGGACGTAATATTGTTTTATCAAAGCAGTACAAAAATGTCAGTGTTTCACAGTTAAAGACCACAGCTGTAATCATGGGAAAGGCGTTTGCGAAAGTGCTGAAGTCCAAGCTGTCCAGCTCCGAGGCTGCGCCGTCTCTTCCTTTGGCTGCGCATGTGCTCCGGTGGGGTTTGCTCCATGCTGGCAGCCTGCAAGGAAATTCAGCCACCGCTTCGAGCAGAAGCAGCTCCTCCTGCCTGCATCTTCTGGAGAGGTTACAGCTGCCCACTCCCATCCTGCCAGCATCCCCTCCTGGCCCATCCTGCCTGCACCTGGGTGCCTGTAACCCTGCCCCGAATATGCAGCGGTTTTCAACTGTACGGGTGAAAATTTTGCTTTTGAACAGAGGAAGGTGGGATAAGAGAGAAGGGTTTGTGGGCGATTCTGTGTGGGACTAAGAGTGTGCAGCAGTGGATGGGGAGCTGGTATTACCACTGGTAGCCGTGGCGCTGCTGGTGGGAGCTCCAGGCTACCCGACAGCCCGGGGGCTGCATGGGGAAGGCAGCTCCTGCGGCTCCTGGTCCTGAGCAGACCTGCTCCTGCCTTCATTAGAGGTCGCACTCAGTGGAAATGCCAGCAGAGGTCTGATCAATGTCACTGGTAAAAATGTTCCCCTTGAGCTGAGCAGGATGAGGTCCATCCTGAGGCTGAAGGAAGCACCTTTACCCCAACCACAGTGGCACAAGGCAGCAGAGAGATGGGCCTTGAAGCAAAGCTGTCCTAAAGCTCTCGGTAAACACCAAGGACTGGCAGAGAAAGGAAAAAGTAGCTCTTGCTTCCTACCTTTGATGTACGGCTGCGTTTGCAGCTGTAGCCTTATCTTTACCAGGTCCACGGGAGTGCCGATGCCCACGGAGATGAAGCCTGCCACCATGCTGGCCAGAGCCACGTCAGCAAGCGCCGGCGCGTGAGATGGGTCTCCGTGGCGGAGCTGGCTGAGGAGCCGCTGTGTGTTGCTGAAGACGCCGAACACCACGGAGCTGTAGACGGCGATGCTGGCCAGCGGGAAGGACATGCCTTTGAAGAAGCCGGCCACCTACTCAGGGAGGGGAGCAGGAGTTACCAGAGCAAACGGGACTGAGCAGCGTAAACCTCAATGTCTATCAGGTGAGAAATGCAAATGCAAATAGCAGGTGTCTCCTGGAACCAACCGTTCGCATGTGCTGAGCAAATGAAAATTAATTCATACTTGTAACGATTGTGCAGAATACAGGACATGCTGAAAGTACAGGAACCCTCTTATGGCCAGCTGCTTTCCTGGCATCGCCAAAGTCAGCAAAATGCCTCTGGTCGAGCTCTGCCAGCAGGTACAGGCAGAACAGCCACTGTGGATGTAATGACCAAGGTGGAAACATGGGCAATATCATTTATCACTCCATGCCAGGGATCTGTCTTTGCCCTATAGGAGTAACCAAGAGATTTACCTTAGAGTTAGCAAGAGAAGGCTGTAGGAATCTGCAGTCTCGATTGCACCAACTTTATTAGTCTTTGTATAACTGCTGGTGTCAACAGTGATTTTGTATAATTGCTTTATATATTTATCTATTTATCTACTTGCATTTTCTACCAGCACGTTTTAAGTAAGATAAAGTACTTACAGACTCATTTCTGTACACAGTGAGAACACAGTTGAGTGTATTTCCATATCCTTGTCCAGCTTGCAAACGAGTCTGCAAAAGACATTCATGAAATGCGATTAAAATCCCATGCTTCCAGCCCAGTGAAAGCTCATGCTACGTAAACAATGTGTACTTTGCTTTGAGAGCGAAGCCTTCCGTAGTTGTAAAGAAAACAGAGCAATAAAATAAGATATATATGCATCCGCCCCCCTTGAACTTTGCCAGAACAGGACCTCAGAGGTCTGAAGCTTTCTGCCACATCTGGAATCGATGACTGTGGAATTGCTCTTGAGTCCAGACCAGCCACCTCGGCCCAGCACCGCGCTCACTGCAGGCTGCTGGTGTGCAGTGTTCTCATTGGCAAGGTCCTGATTTATGTGGAAATTGGAGAGTGATCTGGTCTCCCCCGTTTGGGGACTCTCAGTGAGGTTGGGATGCGTTGCTGAAGGATGGAGAGGCGAGCTCCCCTGGGAGGCTTCCGGGGCCCTTCTCATCCAAGGTGGATTTTAAGACACAGAAATACTAAATGGAGCCAAAATAATTCATCTCCATCTCAGAAATTCTCCATGCTTCACTCAAAAATACATTTTTACATCATTTCCAACAAAGACATTTTGTTACTGTAAAGCCGTGGTTATACGCCTTCCAAAAAATGCCTACAACAGCTGTAAGAAATGGCGCATAAGTCACGACAAAGCCTATATGATTCGACATGCTTTTCCTTCTCACATATATATGTATGTACACATATATTTAGATCATCTGTCATTCAAGCTGCTCACAAGTTTTCAATAAAAGAAATCCTAACGAGTGCTGCATTTTGGGGGCTTAGAGCTGTGCAAGGAGGTGGAAACCCTGTTTGGTTCACAGGGCCTGGGGCTTCAGCAACGGACCTTGGCAGAGGCCGGAGCTCATTTTTCAGAGGAAGACATTCACACGTGCTCTATCGGGATTGTTTTTAGGGAATAGGGACAGCATTTTTGGTCATACCCATCAGCACTTCTGCTAGCAGGAACGGCAATATGAAGCCTGGAGGGACAGGGCCAACCTGTGCTGGAGGCAAGTGCCCGGCCCCCTCCGTCGGCACAGCCCCAACGTACACCAGGGTGAAGCAGGAACTTTATTTGGGAATTTAAAGCCCAAAGGAGCGAGTGTCCTCTGGAGTTCATGGCTGGGGAGAGCTTTTGGACAGCACACAGCCGGGTGAATGATACAGTCATTTGGCCCAGAGCCCTGCAAGAGGCTGGCCGGTGGGGTGCGGCTGTGGGACCCGGCCGGGGAGCGAGAAGGACCGAAGCCGGGGCTCACCCCTCGCCCCAGGGCTGCTCCGTG